CTGTCCGTCCAGGCTCTGGACTTTTTGAGGCGACGAATTACGGGCATCGCGACGTGATATCGAGGCCCCATAACCTCCCTTACCCGGGTAGCCCTCCCAGGCTCAGACTGCACGTGCCCGATCGCGCCCCGCGGCTCGGGCGACGGGCCCACGGCTCGCGACGCGCGCGCGGATGATCCCTCCGCAACCTGCCTGACTGGCGGCGCGCAGTGCGCTGGCGCGCCATCTGAGCCCTTTACGTCACATTCACCCAACTCCGCGCCCTGCGCTGCCTCGTCACCTGGAAGCACGGTCACCGCGCGACCGGCGCAGTCAACTCCCCGCGCTTGGAACGCGGCCGGGCCTGCACGGGTTGCGTCTCCCGGCCGCACCGACACTTCATCTCCCCTGGACCTGGGGATGGAGACAGCCTCCAATGCCGCCCACGCCCGGGCACAATACCGCTGGGCCGCGCGATCGACCCGCGGTTCGCCCTGCGCGGCCCGCAATGGCAACCGACGCCGGACTGGCGCGCGCTCCCGCCTCTGCTGGTCGCTTGTTTTTGCCGGCAACTTTCGGCGCTCTGCGTGGACTCGCAGGCGCAGGCAACGCGTTCCCACGCAAACCGCCCGGCGCTTTACCGCGCCCCCCCCGCTTTGCACGCGGTGCCCCCGACGCGAGGGTTTGCGCAGCGCGCGCACGCGCGCCCGGCGCTTCGGCGCCCGCCCCCCCCTCACCGCTCTTACCCGCGGCGCCCCCGTCGGCAGGACCCCGACAATTGGGTGGAGGCGCGCCCGGCGCTTTACCGCGCCCCACCCGCTGTCCACGCGGGGCCACGATTATCCGGAGAAACTTCTGCCGCCTCAACTCCTCGACGACCGACGGGGGCAAGAACGCGGCCTTCTCACGAACGGTCGACACCGCCACCCGCTGCTGCGCCTCTTTCTCTAGGTCGGCCAGCATTACTTTTCCTGGCGCAGAACACGCCCAGCATCGCACTTGCTCCCACTGCACTGGTGCCTCCAGATCGGTCCGCAGGCGCGACGACACTCCGGCCATGTGCAGGCGCGTGCACATCTCGGCTTGCCGCCGACGCGCATTATACACGATCGGCATCTGGTTCCGACGGGAGTTGTCTCCCCCCTCCGTCCAACCGCCCGAGATGACTCGGGCTTCCCAGTCCAATTGTATCGCGCTCGCCCATGTAGGCCCAGCCCGGCGCAAACTGTACGAAGTCACAAGATCCAACTGGGAATCGTCCGCTAGCGAGCCTCGGAATACTTCCTTCAGCGATCGGTTAAAGGCACCCAACTTCACCGGCGCGCCGGAAACTGGATCGAAGACGAGCCCCGTCGGCACAGCCCTTCCTGCTCGATCTTCCCGCGCCGCCAACTTGTGCCAACCATCCCACAAGGCGTCAGCGGCGGACCGCGCGCCACCTAGCCGCCTCGGCAAGCACCAATCGAACGAAGGTCGCCCCTGTCGCTTTCCCTGCTTCCCCCTCGATGCGCGGAACCAGCAAAAATAAACAGACTTCTCTAAAGGCCTAGAGCGCAGCAGGTGCGTGTACCTCACCCACGCGAATACCACCGCCAGCATCCCAGCCGCGAGCATGACTTGCCCAGGCGTTCTCGCGCCATCCAGGAAATCGATCACATGGTAAATCATCTCGGGTTCGACGACAGTGGCCTGGGCCGGCGGTGCTACGGTTCCACTGCCTGGATCACGTGGCACAGGGCGAAACGCATCGTCCAGGCAGAATGGCGCTTTCAAATGTACGCACATCCACTTCAAGGCGTTCCAGATCCTGACGCCGGACGTCCGTGCGATCGAGAGCTTATGCACGAACTCGGCGACTGCCATGGGTTGCCGCGCCAGACTCGTCGCCGGCTGCCCTTGCCGGCCCGCCCACTCGGCCCACTGCCCCCACACGCGCAAGGCCGCGCGCAGCGTCCCGGCTTCGAAATTACTCAGCCTAAACACCGCCGCGGACGAGACGTCGGCGAGCATCTCGGCCTGCGCCTCCTGCAACCCCTGCCCGAGGCCGCTTTCCGGGCGCCATTCAAGCGACACTCGAACTACGCTGACCGCCAGCTGAACGCGCCCCTCACGCTCTGCCGCCTCCGTCGCCACTGCGGCACAGCGTCTCGGCCGACCGCGGCGCGCGGCGGTAGGCCCACGCCCTTTCCCCGCCGCGGCCCCCGCGCTCACGGCGGGCGCGGCGGCCGCCGCCGCGCCGCCAAATCGCCTCTCCGCGCGAACGCCATGCGCGGGCACCAGCCACGGCGTCACCCGCGCCGCGTCCCGAGCCACGGCCCAGGCCGTGGGCACTCCACACTGCTCCGCCTCGTCCGTCGAGCAAAACAAATGCGCTAAATCGCCAGCCGACTCCAGTCCCTCTCTCTGCACGAGCGCAGAAAGGGACTCGCGCTCGGAGGAATCGACCCTCCAATCTAAGAGCTCTTCGATGAAGAGCTCTCCGCGCTGCCCGGCCATCAAGCAGCACACAAGCAAGAAACAAACCAACAGCAACCGCTGTCGCCAACGCGCTTTGCTCGCACGATCCAATTGCGCGCTCTGATGCGCGCAGTCCCTGCGAGCGCGCGCGGGCGTCCCCTTCTGTCATGATTATGGTTCCCTGACCCGAGCCTCCCCGAGCCTAAAGTCAACGCATTCAATCGGATACTTCTGGATCTGGGATATGCTCCGTTTCAAGTGAAATCCGTTTATAACCGATTCCATGTTCAACAAGCATATTATGGATCTGGGGTCTGCTTCGTTTCTACAGGCAGCTTGTGAGGACCCTGCCGAACTTCAAGAGAAATCCTCTTGATGTTGGATACGTTTGTTGCTGAAGCCCTATCAGAATCGCATCGAATCCAATCGTAAGTCTTTGGATATGCGATCTGCTGCGTTTCTATTGAAAGACGATTGAACCATATTCAAAATGCAATCGGAACCCTCTGGATATGGCATCTGATCTTTTTCTATTGAAATGCGACCTACTAGCACCAGAGTCAAACTTGCTAATAATCGTTTGGATGTGGATCCTCCTCGGTTTCTACGTGAATCGCGTTTTCAAATTCAGTTCGAATCCTCTAGATCTGGGACCACTTCAAATTTCCGTTGAAATCATATCAGATTCCGGCTCCAACTCAATGGGAGTGCTGTGGATCTGGGGCGCTCATTTTCTACGGATGCAAAAAAAATGAAATATCATTCGAATTTCAAAAAGGTCCCTCCTCCTCCTTTGTACAAAACCTTCCTCTTCATCATCAGGAGAGGGGGCAACAGCGGCAGCAGCAGCAGGAGCAAGCGACACTCAAGCGAAAGCAAAAGGTATCGAGCTCAAGCGAAATGTAATATACTGGAGGGCGAACTTCCGAGAGAGACCTACATGCACATATATATATATATACACATGTGCACATACGAATACATACCCAGCGAGCAGCACAAAGAGTATACTTCTGGCAATATGTGCTATGCAGTCGACGAGGTGCACTCCATGTGGGGCAGAGTATATGGTACAATCTATGCTGTGGATAGTGTGCTGTGCAATCACTGCTGTGCAGCATCTGCGGTGCAATCTATGTCGTGCAACCATTGTGGCACATTTCATGTGGCGCAGCATGTGTACAACAGTAAATGTGATGCAATGTATAGATGGTGCAAGCTATGTGGTGCAACATGCGTCGTGCAATCTACATGGTGCAATATATGTGGCCCACTATATGTGGTGCTATCCATGTGGTACGATCTATGTGAAGCAATTCGCTGAGAGGTGTTACCCAAAGAGTGCTTAGGCTAATGGGGCTCTTACTTCTTACTAATGAGCTGGGCCTGTCCGGCGGTCTGAGGAGGAGTGAGGAGAGCAGGGGGGAGGCGGAACAGGAGGGGAGAGGAGGAAGGGCCAGATGCGGCGGATGTCTCCTCTCGGCGCCTGTCGCCCCGCTCTTGGGTGGTAACTCATGAGAGGCACCCATGCCATCTTGCTAGCTCTTGCGAATCGACGCTGACTGTCACTACATCGATGCTACTCGACGTTCGTCGATGCTAAATCGACGCTGATCGACGCTAAATCGACGCTTTCTCATTGGCTACCAGACGCTAACGCACACGAATACACACTGGAGATGGCATCGCGAGGACACGCAGGGCTTCTGTGATTTGCCATCCAAATGCCTTATAAACACAGCAGCCTGTTCCTCGATCTCGACCGGACACTGTCCCACTCTCGGCGCCTGTCGCTGTACTCGCGCCCTCGCGGTCTGGATGGCCGGAGCGCGACACCGCGGATATGCGGTCGCATGGAGATGGTCCGCGCGGGGCATCCGCGAGCAGACGCCCCGCATCCGCGGGGTCGCGGCCCAGGGGGCCTGGCCCGCGAAGCCGCGGACAGTCCAGCGAGGTGCGCCTGAGCCCGGAGAGGTTACGGAGAGATCCCAGCACTCGCAGCCCCACGTGCGGTCAGTAGTACCTTCCAGGAACCCGCGGACTAACAAGAACTTGAGATCCCACGCCATCCTGAACACCATGAAGCCATTGGGTACTGCGTAACTGCATGCTGGGTTGAATCACCAGTGATAATTCGCAGCAAGATGTGACGTTAAGGTGGAAATCCAATTGGTCGCCGCTACGTTCTCACTTGAACTCCCAGGCCGCCATGAAGCCATGTCGACTTTATACATATCACTGGCTCACCAGCATCACCACCAACTCAATCAGCACCACCATCATCATTACAGTATTACTCATCATCATAATCATCATCAGCAGCATCATGATCAACATATCATCATCACCATCACCATCACCATCACCATCATCATCATCATCATCATCATCATCATCATCATCATCATCATCATCATCATCATCATCATCAGTAGCATCATCATCGTCACTATCATCATCACCATCATCATCATCATCATCATCATCAACATCACTCCGCATCGCTCAGCATGCCAGCTTCTGCTCCTCGATCTCGACAAGGAGAGGCCGCCCCCTATCGGCGCCTGTCGCCCCGCGCCTCCACGACCGTGCCTGGGAGGCCGTTCATCTCCTGGGCAGTCGGAGCGGGGGGCCCCGGGGCGGGCACAAGTAAATAGATACTTAACGGGCCAAGAACGGCATAACGTATACTTTTTCGCTGTCGGGGGGCGCCTGTCCCAAGGCGGCTGGAAAGTTTATACCCTTACGGTGACACGTCAATAGAGGCCTTCTAGACGGGGTCGGAGTAGATGGGGTCGGAGGATCGCGCCGCATCGCCGATACATCGGCGGTGCATCGACGATGCATCGGCGATGCACCAGCGATGCATCGTCGACGTGGACCATGCATCGGCGACGTTAGCGTGGAGGAATCGGGCTGCGCATCGAGCCGCATCGCCGATGCATCGGCGATGCGGCGCGATCCTCCCACCCCATCTACTCCGACCCCAGGAGGCCTAGAGTCAAGGTAAAAACTTTCCAGCCACCCTGATGCAGCGCTCCCGGCGACGGGAAAGTTTATTCCCCAATCAGAGCTTGCTTCTGTAGGGGTCCTAGCGGATTCATGTGGTTAGGTGGGGTATGGCGCCGATTTCGGTGGCACGCCCGGGTGCCCAGGTGCCTGGGTGCCCGGTAGCCCTATAACCCCATAGCCCTGTAACCTTATAGCCTTCCGCCCTATAGCCCTATAGCCCTATAGCCCTATAGCCATGTAGCCCTATAGCCCTATAGCCCTATAGCCCTATAGCCCTAATCGCCCTAATCGCCCTATAGCCCAATAGCCCTATTGGCCCATAGCCCTATAGCCCTGTAGCCCTATCGCCCTATCGCCCTATTGCTCTATAGCCCTATAGCCCTATAGCCCAATCGTCCTATAGCCCTATAACCATATAGCCCCATAGCCAAATCGCCCCCTAGCCCTATAACCCTCGTAGAACTAAAGCCCTGTAGCACTATTGCCTTATAGCCCTACAGCCCTACAGCCCTACAGCTCTATATGCCTATAGCCCTATAGCCCTGTAGAACTATAGCCCTATGGTCCTATAGCCCTATAGCGTTGTAGCCCTAAACGTATTATCCCAGTGCGACCATACCTAGGAGTTGGAGCATTTAGGGAAGCAACATCTACATCTACACCGACGGCTACATGTACATCTACACCTGCATCTACATCTACATCAACATCGGCAGCTCGACTCACATCTACATCTACATCTACACCTACATCGACACCTACATATACATCTACACCTATATCCACATCTACACCTACACTACGTCTACATATACATCTACATGTTCGCATTGGTGTTGCTTTTGGTGTGCATTGCCTTTGCTGTTGCTCTTGCCTTTGTTTGTGCCAATGCCTTTGCTTGTGTGTTTGCGTTTGCTGTTGCTGTTGCGTTGTTGCTGCGTTGTTGTTATGTGTTTGTTGTTTTGCTATGATATGATGGGCTATGCTATGCTATGCTATGCTTGGTTATGATGTGTTAGGATATGATGAGCGAGTGCTGCGTTAAGCTAAGGTAAGCTAAGCTAAGATGAGCTATGCTAAGCTCACCTAGGTTAGGCTAAGCTCAGCCAAGCTAAGCTATGCTAAGTTAAACTAAGCTAAGCAAATATGCTATAGGCTAAGCTAAGCTAGGCTAATCTAAGTTCGGCTAAGCTAGGCTAGGCTAGGCAAAGTTAAGCTAATTTAAGATGAGATAAGCCAAGCTAAGCTAAGCTAAGCTAAGCTAAACTAAAGCTAAGCTAAGTTAAGCTAAGCTAAGCTAAGCTAAGCTGGGTGAACCCAGGGGGCGCGACTGGGGGAACCGCGGGGCGGGGACTGGGGGAACCGCCCGTGGCGATTTCCACTGCCCGCCCCTTGAAGCTAAGAGAGTAAGAACCCTTCTAGGCAGAGCCTAGGTAGGGAATTATACATTTTTTTTTTCTGCGGTATCATGTTACACCGTTCTTCGCCCGCTAAGATACAAATCCCAGCGTTCCCCGCATATGTTTCAAAATGTCCTGGTTGTTCCTCTTCCCCCTCTCACTCCCCAGATGTTCCAATGCTTTCCTGGAGATCCACTTTTGTGCGTGGGTGTGTGCGTGCGTGCGTGTGTGTGTGTGTGTGTATGTGTGTGTGCGTGTTTGTGTGTGTGACTGTGCATGTCTTCCCTCCCAGGCAACAAGCGCAACGCCGAGATATGCAGGGCCCCTCGCTGGCCGCTCGCTCGCAGGATCGGTCAACACCGGAGCGGAATCTCGACCGAATTTAGACCAGATTCGCCACTTCACAATGGAGCCTTCCCCCTTCCCCCCCCCCTCCGCCCAATGTCGAAACGCCAAATAAGAAAACGTTCACCAGAAGGCTTGATGTCCGTTCCATGGGAGCCTGCGTGGCCCCCGGCGCTGCCCGACTCGGTCCCGATGCGAGCCGGATGCGGGACACAGGCCGAAGTTGGACGGGAGTCGTCCCCGCAGAAGGGAGACGAGGAGACCTAGGAGGGAGGCGGAGCAGGAAGGGCGAGGAGGAGCAGGAGGAAGGGTCAGATGCGCCCCGAAGGCGGCCCGAATGCAGAAAGAGCTGTCTTCAACGTCGCCGTTCACAGCTCCCATGAACAGACATCGAAGGTTGTCCCCTCTCGGCAAGTATCGGCCCAATCTTCGGCAGCAGCTCGCGGGAAGCTCCCATGCGATTTTACCTGCTCTTACGAATCTACACGGGCCGACGCTAATCGACGCTCATCGACGCTAAAGCTACGCTAAATCGACGCTGATCGGCGCTACTCGACCCTGAATCGGACTTGCTCATCGACTGCCAGACGCTAGCGCACGCTAGTGCACACCAGGTATAACATTGCGAGGACATACGACGCTCCCATGAGTTGCTACCAGAAACCGTTGTTGGAGCCAGGATCAGTCAGCACCGAATCGGAACATCGAATCGGATCGGACCACGCATCGAATCGTGATCCATCGGAACGGAGACGGGATCGAATGGAATCGGCCACGCCAAGATGCACAGCAGCGCAATGCAAGCGTCGGTTCGCACCTGACTGCCAGAACATCAGAAACAAACGCGTCGCATCGGGCCGGCCGAAGTCGATGTCGAATCGGATCGATGGGATTGAAATCATCATCCAAGCGGACAGGAAAAGGCTCACTGGCGCATGCATGCCGCCACCCGAATGGCCTCCCAAAATAGATCGAGACGACGGCGTTCCGTCATCTTCGGCCTCGGGGGAGCCTCGCCTCTGTCCGTGGAAGCCTCTTAGATGTGGTCCAACTAACTAGATGGGGTCGGAGGATCGCGCCGCATCGCCGATGCACCGCCGATGTATCCAGCAATGCATCGCCGATGCATGTACGACGTCGGCGATGTGGTCGACGTGGACATCGTTTGGCTCCACGTGGGGACGCATCGCCGATGCGGCGCGATCCTCCGCCTCCATCTGCTCCGACCCTGTTTTGGAAGGCCTGGACCTCTGCTATATCCCTGGCCTCGGAAGAGCGGGCTGAAGCCCAAGTCCAGCGTTGCTAGACATGCCCCAGGCCCAAGGCGCCCCCGGGATCTTAATGGAAGCCCCCCCGGCCTCCAGAGCACCCTTCGAGACCCGGAGGGCCCCGGGGGCTCCACAGAGGATCGAAAAGCTGGGGGGGGGCCTTGAGACGAGAGCACCTGCCGCCACCCCTGAAAAACTGCCGAGGCCCGTGTGAAGAGCCAGCTCCCCGGAAGGGGCCGAAGCCACCAATGGCGGCGCGCACGCGGGGGCTAGAGAGGAAGGGGAGGGTTTTCTTACAAGGAGTTTGCTTCTTAAAAGGCGCTGGCCCTACATCTATAGACAAGGCCCGCGCCTTCTAAGAAACACAAGCCCTCTGAGAACCCCCCCGCCCTCCCCCTCGTCTGGGGCTGCGTCGGGCAAGGTTGGCGCGGCCTGAGCCGGAGTTCCACTATTGGGGCGCATGCGAGGACATGTCGCGCGCGCGAAGACAATCTCCTTTCGCGCACTTGATGCGCGACGCCGGCTTTTTGAGGCGTCCGTCCTTCATACAGAGTAAATACATGCGTCCACTGTTTCCGCCTCCGCCGCCGCCACCGCTGCCGCCGCCCGCGCCTCCCACAGCAAGGCCATAGGTGTTGAATTGTTTTCGCTGCGCGGTGCGTCTGTGAGAGCTTCGGCCCGTCTGCGCGCGCCTACTAATATGACCCAGCATCCGCTCGTATGGTTTCATAACCTTTGCCGTGCTTGTCGTTGCTGCGATCGTGAATGGTGACATGCGCGGGCACTTGTTCACATCTGTGTAGACATGTCATTGGATGGATGGGCGGGATGATTTGTGGGCTTATCCATATCGTTTATGATCTTCGCCCACTCGTCGTAGAAGCGGTAGAAATCGGCGTCCGCTTCCCTACCCGCGCCACAGATCTCGATTCCCATTGGATCCTGATACGTGCATGCCTGACCATGGTCCTCACGGGCGGCGGCATGCACAGCGACGGCTGGCCTGGCAAAGTTGCCAGACCCTTCAGCATCAGTTTCTTTTCCGGCACGGCGGCGTCGAAGCCATCGATCTCGCTAAATGGCGAAGTGGAGGCCACGACCTCGGGCCCTTCGAGATTCGATATATTTCGTTCATCAAATCTGGTGCGTAATTAACTCAAGCTGGCCGGAGTCTCAAGAGTCCTGCAACGCCCCAGCCATGGCCTGCTGGATCTTGAACGCTTCCGACATCCACTCTGTGGCCCGCTGCCAGTTGGGGGGGCGCGACGCGACGTGGCGGGCCGCGCGTCTGCTCCACTGTTCCTAGCCAGCTGCGTCGGGAATGGGATAGAAAATTACCTTCTCCGCTTTGCCAGCGTCGTTCCAATGGGCAGCAGTGCCCGGCGCTCCGTCGGGGGAGGGCACCACCTCCATCTCCACCATGAGGCGGGCCACTCGGCGGCCCGTCGCATCGGTCACGCCGACGGCCACCCTCATCGCAATCTCCCTCGTCGGACGACTCGCCCTCGTCACCCTCCGAGTCGGAGTCGTCGAGGCCCTCGCCCTAATCGTCGACTCCATCGCCGTCGACGCCGCCTGGCAGGCCAGAGTCGCGTTGCTGCTTGGCCAGCGATGCCTTGGCTGGCCCGGGCTCGTTTTGCCCCCCCCCGTGGAAGGCGCCGGCCCAGCCGCCGTCGCCGCCGCCTGGCTTCTCGAGGCCGGGCGGGTTATAGCCAGGGGAAGAAGCGGCAGGAACCCGTATTCTCCTCTATCTTCCAGCGGCGATCTGCCTCCTCCCTGGCCTTCTCCTCCTCTTCCTGGCCCTGTTCCTCAGCGGCGGCAGCGGCCTCCGCGCGATTCTCGGCGCGCAGCTCCTGCCTCCTGGCCTTCGCATCGGCGTGGCCTCCACGCTCCACATCGCTCCCGCGAGCGTCTCCGAGGGCCTCTGGTGCTCGCCCCCAGCAGGGTCTTCGGGCGCCTTCAATCGTCTGGAGACATCATCTTCTGCCTTCTGCTCGACCTGGCGTCCCGAGGCGCTCGCGACGCAGTCGCGGGGTGCCCTGCGTCGCAGCGGGCGGTCAAGAGGCCCGCTCCAGGCGCGGGTTGGGGGTGCGATCCGTTCCACGAGTTCCCTTATCGCTTCGCGTTCCTCGTTCCATTTCCTTCACTCTCATACTTTCTCTCAGCCCCCAGTCCTCTTCCGCCGAATCACCGGCGCAGGTGGCGCACTGACATTCGGTGGCATTGCAGCGCGGCCCGCTGAAAAACCGCGCGCGCCGCGCGCAGTCAGGCTTGCAATTCTGTTGCGCAAGAAACGCCATGGACCATCCAGGCGCGGCGCATGCGCGGCCCGCCCAGGCGCCGCCGCCCGAGGAGGAGTCAGGTCGGCCGCGGCGACAGTGGCCGCTCCGAGCCTGACCTGGGAAGCCTGCTTCTCCAACTGCTGCCGCGCGCAGAGTTCAGCCTGCTGCCGACGCAGTTGCTCGCGCGGCGCCCCCCAGTTATTCTCCGCGGGCCGCGATGCTCTCTTGGCATTCCGAGACGCGGCGTTCACCTCGTCATTCGCTCTCTGCCCAACTCGCTGGGCCCTTCCCAGTGCGTCGCGAACTTCGGCGGGAATGCGAACGCAGTTTGCGCTTGCCGCTCGGACAATGGCGCGCGCCTCTTGGCGAGCGTCGCTGAAGTCGCCCTGCGCCTGCCACGTCGCCTCTGTGCTCTCGGCCGATGCCTTCTCCGCAGTTGCCTCGGCGATCAGTCAAACTGCCTGCGCCCGTCGGACCGCCGCCTTTGCCTCCGCCTCAAGGGGGGCGTTGCGCGCCTCAGGCGCCTCGAGCTCTTCGCCGGCTCTGGTTATCGCCGCCTGCCGGGACTCCCCAGCACCCCGGAAGACGCGCTCGGCCTCCTCTGCGATGCCCTGCTCGAGGGCTTGGGCGCGCTTCTCGGGGGCAGCCAAGGCCTCGACCTTGCCGCCCAGCTCACGGAGCTCTGCCGACGCTTGCGTCGCAGGCGACAGCCTGGTGCCTTTCCTCAGCCTGCCCCACGGCGCGAACCATTGATGATGCGGTCGTTCTGGGCCTGGCCACGAGCAACTGCGCGTTGTCGAACTTCGGTTCTCGCGATCTGGCGTCTCATGTGCGCCATCTCCACGCCCCTTTCTTCGGCTGCCCCCCGCCCGCCCCCTCTCTTCGGCATCCCCAACCGAGGCTACGCAGCGCCATGCATATATGCGCGAGAGGGGGGAGACAGTCCGGGCGGAGGAATATCCAGTTGCCACGATGGCAGCTGACAGAACACGCATGACATATGGCCTTCGAACTGTGTCGTCGATCTCCCAGGTGGCAGTGTTCAGGAGACGCGCGCCCGGGGCCTCTGCTTTCACGTGACTCGTCGATGCGATAACTCGACGCGCTGGGGCGTGCCGTGCGAGCGGGGGGCGACGACGTTCCCAACGGCTCGAGGTCCCGTGCCCCTGGACCGCGGCGAGCGATCGCGGGGGACAAGGGGGCCCATGCTGCAGTGGGGTTCAAGCGCCACCCCGGTTTCACGCGCCTGGTTCTCCTCTGGTGTCCCTTCCGTCTAGGTCCGCATCACTAGCAGGGATCTCACTGACAAGCCGATGGCACACCGCGGCTTCTTCGCAGCGGACGCTCTCGAGTCGGCTGTCTTCGGCGTTCAGCTGAGCGGCCGAGGGCGCGCCAGCCACCGTCTCCGCCATTTCCCCCCGCGCGTTTTCCCGCGAGGCTTTCGCGACGCAGTCGTCGAACAGTTCTGACGTCGGTGATTGTTCCTGAGCTGACACAAGGGGGGACCCGCGACCGCAGGCCACGGAGTCATCCCCTGGATGAGCCGTTTCCCGGCTCAGGCGGGGAGTCGACTTGACTGATCCCAGCTCTTCCGACGAGACGGATCCGCGGCCATCAATTTCTTTGCCCGAGTCGGAGGATTGCACGTAAGCTTGATGGGCGCTGGGGGGCAACGGATGCTCCTCCAAGTAGATTGACCCATACCATTCGGCGTCTGCCTCCACCTTGTCTGCGTCTGGTCGTGGTGTGTCACAACGGCTGGAGCCGCCGTCTGCTAGCGTATCTCCGGACGCCAGCAACTGGCACATGCCGACATTCTACGAACAAGAAAAAACGCGAGTCGGAGCCCCTGACGCAGTTGAAGATTTGTGAATCCCTTTTGAAACGTGGCACTGTGCTTGATTATTTGTTGCATCCACCTTCGAGGCAGGAAGCGCGGCTTTGTAATCTCGTGGTGGAGCTTTCAGCTGATAGCTCGCATTTTACAGATTCATCATGGATTCGGGCGGGCATTATCTGGATCCTGTCAATAAGCTCTCGGTATGGATGTCCTTGTAGAAAATCTTCTAGGGTAGGCTCCAGATTCCGCATCGGAAGGCACGCGCTTGATGCCACGGCAAGCATATCCGTTAAGCGAATCTGCTACAAAAGGATCTGCGTGTGCGCCAGCCGGCCGACCGGATTTAGGGCGGGCGCGCGCGGGATATTTTACCTCTACGCAAAAGTGGCTACGTATGGTAACGAAATGCCGATATTGATAAGATGGTTCTGCCAACCTTCTTTTGGAGGGAAACGGCAGAGCATGAAAATAGATCGAAGGTGACGTGAATAATGATTGCTTCAAAGGTGGATCCAGCCCTCGTAGGATTCAATCAGAAGTGGGGCGAACCCTACCAGGTTTCTTTCTACTACAGCAAGATCTAGCCGGAAAGGTAAACGTTGTCCTGACGTCGGCGTCGTCATGGGTCATAGGCGATGCCATCGTCGTCGTCTTCTTCGTCGTGGTCGTCGTCGTCGTCGACTTCGTTCTCGTCGTTTGCCAGCGTCGGCGGCGGCGTCGACGTCGTCGTCGTCGTCGTGTTCGTCGTCTGCCTGCAGCGGCGGCCAGGGCGGGCGGCCCTCCGAAAAGCTGTCCCGGGGGCGGGTGGGACCCCTCGAACGAGTTTCCCGCAGGGCAGGGGGCCCGGACCTCCACGGCTGTTTGGGGGAGGGGAGGGGGGAACCAGCGACGGTTGATCGCCCCCCTCCGAAAAGTCGCGTCGAGAAGCCATGCGCAATGATCGGAGCGCACATCGAAGCAAATCCTTTGACAGGAATGCGGAGCGTACCGGCGAGCGCCTGCCAATGAGGAAGAAGACGGAGACGAAGATGGAGAGAGACGGGCGGAAGAACAACGCCAGACAAGGATGGATCATATAAGATCAGCGCCGGGTCATCAAGGATCTGGAACACAGGTGGACGGATATCCTCCCGCCCGCATGGGCGAGCAGATACTCATGCCCACGGCTCCCCGAGTCCCTGGGACACGGCCCAGCGTAAGTGGATATAGAAGCTTCAGGTGGCGCAAGCTTTCGGTCGGGCGTGCCCTCGTACAATCGGATTTGGGAGGAATAATGAAACATACGCAAAAACATCCTCAAACATAGTCAAACATAGACGAAAGATCGTACCCAGACTATTTTCTAAACTATTTTTGAATATTCCTCCTGTGGAGGGACATTCCCAAATTAACGCAAGGTTTTTCCTTCCGACCCAGTTTTCATGGCCCCGAAGGCCCAGAAGACTGCCCCTGCGACGCCGCAGGGGAGGGAAAGAACACGACGTCGCAAATCGTGGGGTGGCCTGGGCGGGCTCGCCCTGGGCTTAGGTCGGGCATGTCCTCCTAATTACAGGCGGATTCTGGACGAAAGTTATAAAGTAGTCAAACACATGCTTAAAGCATGATGTTTGAAATCGTCCCTACACTATTGTTTGACAATTTTTGAATATTCCTCCTGTTGGGGGATAGGCCCGATTTAAACCTGGACCCACTTTGACGGCCTTTGGGCCCTAAAAGACCGCACCCTGAAGGCCGCCTGGACTTCAAAAGATGGTGCACCAGAAATCGCACGGGGCGGACACAGACAGCCCCCCCCAAGCACTCCTGGCTGGCCTCCACGAGTCCCCCGAGTAGCCCCACCTGGCCTCAAACCCCACAAATAGTTAGCCTTGGGCGATCCCGACACCCTGGCGGCGCCGCTTGGGAGATCCGCGCCCCAGGGGTGGGATATTGAGACCGCCCCAGGTGGGGGGGGGCATGTCCTCCCGCAGGTGGATCTAGACATACTGAAATACATAATCCAAACATGATCCAAAAATATTCACACACGGCATGTAGATCGACCCCAGAGTATTGTTGCTTATTTGGGAATATTCGTCCTGTAGAGGGACATGCCCGGCTTAACCCAAGGGGGCGGGGTGTTGAGGCCAGCTCGAACATTCTCGGGTGGGTTGTCTGCGCGCAGCTCGTGGCCTCACCACGGGGGGGGGGCGCTATCCGCCGGGCACCGCCGGGCGCGCAAGGGGGGCGCTCCGGGTGCGACTGGAGCCCTGCGAGGCGAACGCGGGCGCCAGGCCGCAGCGGCCTCAAGGGGGGCGGGGCTCGGGGAGGGGGGGGGGGGGGGGCAGGCACCCAGCGTCTTGGCCAAGCATCGCGACGGACCCCCGCCGAGAGACCCAAGCAACCCCCCCAAGACGCCCCTGCGGGAGGCCCGCAAGAGGTCCCCCAGAGGCACCCAAGAGGCCCCCTTATGGAGACCTCGAGAATGCTGCTCCTTGAGCCCTGTATCTCCTTCTCCCTCTCCTTCTCGCCTCCTCCTCCTGCTCCTCCTGCTCCTCCTGCTCCTGCTCCTGCTGCTGTTGCTGCTGCTCCTCCTCCTCCCGTGCGCGCGGCCCCCCGTTCCCAGTTGTGCACAAAACGGTGGGATCTTTTCTGGTAGGTTCGGGTCCGCTATGACGCGCGACCGCGGACCGTATCACCCTCCCCGCACACTCCTTCCTTCCTACCCCCCACTTTTCTGGGGCTCTCATGAACAAACTGCTCTGCTCTTTGTGTCTGTGGCTCGCGGCGAGGCCTGGGCGCGCGGCCGCGTCCAGGCCTCGCCGCCCTGGCAATGCCCGAGCCGACTCCCTGCGCCACATCGCGGGCCCAGCCCCCCGCGCAGAGAGCCTGCCTCGGCCGCGCTCAGGCGATCCCGGCGCAGGTAGCCCTCCAGGTCTGCCAACGACGCCGCCACTGTGCAATGAGGCAGCCGGGCCACGGGCCGCGGGCAGCCCGCGCGGAGCTTTACCCTGAACAACCTCCAGATGCCTGACGGAAGCGGCGAAGAAGGGAAGCCGAGGCGCCACCTGATTTCTTAGTTGAGCCACAGCCAGCAGAACCGCGCACACTGCGCTGTTGACTCTCGTTCCACTGCCCAAGCGTCGCCGCTATAATGATGCATTGAGACGTCGGAGACATGGCGCATCGCCGAACGCATCGCCGAAGGGTCTCGGACATCATTGCGTTGGGCCCCTACGTCGCCGAATGCCTGCCGCGGGCTTCTCAGGATAACGGGTTCTCTGCGGCCCGGGTGCCGCGCGGCCGACCGCGCGCGTGGCGCGCGCGAAGGGGGGGCAATGGGCTCTGACGGAATGCACCGCCGCAGTCCAAAGCCCCGCCAGTGGCTCGCCCGCGCCCCAAAACTCCTCGGATAACCCCGCGGCCGCCCGCGCCGCGTCCAAATCGTCGGGGGCGCGCGACTCGCGGGCGCGCACTGTCCCGTGGGCCTTTCTCGCTTTCAAATTCTCGATGTTGCGCGCCTTCCACTGGCCCTGTGATCCCCGCCCACGCGCCGGGGAAACGCGGGCGCGCTGCGATGGCTGACAGATCCACGCCGTCGATAATGAACGGGCCCCGCGCAGCGCCAGTCGCGACGCGAGCCCCCCGCTTCTCCCGCGCCTTTTCGTCGAACAGCGCATCCCTTGCGGACTCGCTTGCAGCGGCAGCGCGGGCATTTCGATCTGGGGCCTCCCTGATCCACTCGGTCAGATTCACTCGAGCTGGTTTCTCCGCTGCCCGCCGCAACGTGCCTCACCTGCAACGTGCGGGGGGGGGGGGGGGGGCGCAGTTTTTCGCTGTCATCACAGCAGGCAAAGAGGGCGCCATTCCTCCGCCTGTGCGGCCCCAGGAACGGGGGCATTTAGAGCCTGGGAAGACGGGGGGAAAGGGGAATCGCGTTCCGATCTTGTCAGGAGACCCCGCCTCCAACCTCGCAGTCGGCCATGGGAACGTCGGGCTGCTGGCGGCCTCAATGCTGCGGCCGCCAGCTGACCAACCCCGTTTTGCGGGTGCCCCCGCTGCCCGCTCTGACCACAAGCTTCTGCCCATGTCCTCCTCGTCATCTCGGTGATCCCGTGCTTTCTGCTCCTCTTACTTCTTGCTCAGCTGCTAAGGGTCTTCCAGGTTGATTGTGGGTTCCAGCGTCATCCATGTCAATCCCACTGGCACTCCCCACGGGGGAGGGCCCTCCTCTCTGCCGCTTTCCTGCAAAACTTCGGCATGTCTCTTCTGCCCCTCTCCACTTGGGCTTTCAGAGCCATATCATATGGGGGGCGGCATTTTCTCTGCTAGCATATCGCCATGCTCCTTCTCGTACTTTTTGAAGTCCATCGGTTCTGCTGCCAGCCCCCCCCCCCCCCCTCCCCGCGGAGGCGTTTGCCCAATTAGTTGAGGCCTTCCTCTGTGCTCCACCATGTCCGCGCTGAGAAATAATACCTCTGTCTGGTCCTCTCCCATTTCTCTGGTAGTCCACCCTGCGCCTGTGCATCTCGCTGAAGTCGTTGTTCTCCTGTGCCCTCCATCGCTATTATGCCAGCTTCTTCGTTCTCGCATGTTTCCAAGTCTGTCCTGTGTCTGCGAAACACATGTTGCATCGGTACCAGCTCTTTCTTGATCACCTGCAATCTCTCATGCGTGTCAGACTCAACCACGTCCGCTCTTAACATCGCCATGTCTGCCAGGTCGGGAATGTCGCAGTAACTGGGAAGCGGCCACCTCCATTGTCTTCCTGCTTCTTCTCGGTTGGGAATACATATTTCGTGGAACCCCTGTCCGCCTTACCCCATGCATTCCGCATCTTCCGCCTACCCCCCCCCCGTGGGTTGCGCGCCGAAAAATCCTCGCTAATGTTTCTCCCGGGAGCTCGGCAGGCCCATCCTGGGTTGCACTCCGAGATAATCTCGCTCATGCATATCCTAGGAATACTGAAGGACAGTCTGGGTCGCACTCCGAGAAAGACTCGCTACTGCCCCTCCTGGCTGCGGTGGATGGGCGACCTGTGGGTGGCGGTCGAACGCGCTCAAGAATTCCGGTCCCAGGCGCCCTGTCCTGAGGCACTCAGCACGTTGCGGTCCACTTCCTTGCCCGCTCTTTGCTGCCGGTGCTTGCCCGCAACATTAATATCAATGCCCAAAAGGATGTGGTTGCTGTGCCCTCTCGTTTTTCATGTTCTAGTTTGTTTGCCACTCCTCGCAATGCAGCGCGTCTCCGCGCACGGGGTGGAGCCCTCGACGGTATCGCTATGTGGTATATATTGATCGTCCTTATCTGCTCGTCTTTCACGCAGTAGCAACTTGGCCTACAAGCAGTGGAAATCGTGACTACTGACAATAAGCTGTGGACACGCGGCTCCCTGAAAGCTGTTCCATTATCTATCTCCACCTCCTTGGCAACTGGCCCCAATGCTGCTGCATGTTGGCCAGAGCTGCGTCTAGTTACCGCCAGGCCCCTTCTGTCCGACCTGTGCATTCCCAGTTGGCGGCTGATGTCCCCCTCCCGCTATGACAGTAGAACTGCCACCCGTGCCATCACGCTTCTCTTTCACCCACTGCGTATGTTGTTGAAATGTTTTCATTGTTTGTGTACCCTCTATTTGGCAGCAAATACGTGGCGAAGATTGTGACGTCGTGTGCTCTCGTACGCAGCAGAACCCTTGCCGTTCTTCCTTGCAGCTGTATAGGTGGTGTGTACTGCGCGTGGAAGGCCTTGCCTCTCATCATCTCATTGGGTACAGAAGCGTCGTACCACATGACTTGTTGATCGATGTTCCCTTTGTTGCCCCGGACTGCAGTGCCGTACGATATCTATGACGCGCCTTCTTCATTTGGCACGTGGTCAGCCCACTGGTGTGTCCCTGTCAGCACAATTGCATCCCACTCTCGTAGTGCACTGCAAATTTCTTCCAGCATGTCCGTGGTATCCGCCGCCAACGGCTTGTAGAATACCAGCTTCAGCAATGCACGCATCGGGAGCACTGCAACCGCCATCCATCAGCCATGCTCCCTAAAAGCCCCTCTCTGGCCCGTGCGATTGCTGGGCGGTCGTCGTGTGAGAGAGTTTCAGCAAATCCTCGCTCGGTCGGATCCCAGTGCCTGAGCCCCCAACGCCGACTAGGAACAGGGAGGAGGGGGAGGAGGAGAACGGGGGGAGGCGAGGGAAGGAAGGGGAGGACCAGGACGAGGAGGAGGCCCCGCAGGGACGACGAAGTGGTGCACAAGAGCTTTCCTGGACGAGGAAAAGGCCGGCGGGGGCCCGTGGCCAGTACTGGGGCAGGGGAGGGCATCGGGAACAGCGGGGGGCGGGACGCGAGAGAAGGATAGGGACGGGGATGGGAGGAGGGCAGGGAGAAGGTAGCGGAAGGGCGCCCGCGACGGTGGAGGGCACGGCCGCATTTGCACGCATACGAAAGGTCGAATTCATCATCGACGAACCCCTCCAGGAACGAGGGGCAGATGGGGCGACGACGGAGGCAGGACGGGGTGGGCGGGGCCCGGAACGTCGGAATGAGAGGGGTGGCGACGACGACGACGACGACGACGACGACGACGACGACGACGTCAACGATGACCTCGGCGGCGACGACGCCGACGACGACGACAGCGACGACGACCGCCGCATGCTGAGGACGGGGCGGTGCTGCCAGTGGCGGCTCCGTGGGGGCGTCCTGGAGCGCAAGCTGCGAGGAGCTGGGGGGGAGGGCAGCGCGGAGGGCGAGGGGGGGGTCAGGAGCAGAGGAGGACACAGAGGGGGGGGAGAGGGGGGGGGGGGGGGCAAAAACGGGGAGGGGGAGGGGAGGGAAGGGCGGGGATGGGGGGCAAAAGGGGATGGGGAAGGATAGGGGGAGGGGAGGGGGATGGGGATGGGAGGGTGGATATGGGGCAAGGGAACGGGACGGGGAGGGGTGGGTGAGAGAAGGGGGGGGGGGGGGGGACAAAGCGGGTTCGGCGCGCTTGCCGTCTGGCGTCGAGCCAGTCCCCCTTAGCGCCTGCAAGCGATCGGAGCGATCCCGCTTCGAAGCGCGTGCCCCAGCCGAGCGGGGCGCCCCCCACCCCCCCACACTCATCCTTCCCGATTCCCGACAGGAGCAGGAGCCGCGATTGTAAGTAACAGGCGTGCTGCACAGGCTGCTTGCACACTTGAACCGACGACCCAACCAGTGCGGGGGAATGGGTGCTAAACGATTCTATATAATTCTGGGCCGCTGCATGATAAGGAACTTGCTGCGTCAGACAATCTGGACGCGCTGGTGCGCCACTCCATGTCTCCACGGGATCGCGCCCTTGCTTCCAGACAGCGAGAGCGTTAGTATGAATACGTGGCCGACTCCGGGAACCCTGGATCCGAACACGCTGACTGCCCCTGTTAATATATATATATATATATATATACACAGATGTGTGTACGGAATGTGATTTAATGAAATATAGATGTATGAACACACAAGTAAACATAATTGCATACACACAAACTGTTGGCGCTCCAGCGCGGATCCAAGAAATCCGCGCGGAGCGCCAACAGTTTATGCTTATGCAGTTGTGCCAACAGTGAGCGCCGACAATTTTTCATTTTGTCCATCCATCCTTGACCGTCCTCCTCGAACCACGCTCCTCGATCCTCCGTTTAAATCGGGCATATCCTCCTGGAGGCGGATTTTAGACGAACGCTGAGAAATCTCCAAACGTATTCAAAAATAGTCAAAATATGGTTGAAAAATCGTCCCCAGAACGTGTTTAGACAATTTTTCAACATTCCCCCTGCAGAGGGACGGCCCTCGGCCTCCGTTCCAGGAGCCCCGGGCGGCCAGCCGAAGGGCCCCGCGGAGCGCCCGCACGCGGAGGAGCGCCCGCGGGCGGGGCGGGCTCCCTTCGGGGAGACGCGAGACTCGGGTTTGGGGGACTCGGGCTGGCCTGGCGCGAGCTCGTCAAAACCCGGGACGCGCTCGTCAAAAAACGCTGGCAGACCCGAGTTCTCGCTTACAGCGGAGGCCAGTCCAGAAGAAACCTTCCACGAGAAACGCAACCCTGAGACCCCAGGGAATCCATGGATTTTTGGCGTGGGAACGTCGCGCCCTCCACCGCCAAACTTCCGAACCCCCAGAAAACCAGGGTGTCTCCAGGCATGAGCCCCCACTCTACCCGAGCCTTGCGTTTCCCCGATCCCTCCCCCCCGAGACAGGGCCCCGCGCCGGGCCGCCCCTCCTGCGCGAGACGCTCCAAGGGCGCCATGGGTTCGGGCGCCTCCTGCGAGGGGCGGAGAGCAGAGCAGCCACCTACAGAGGAACCCAGTCCACAAAAGAAGCCTTCCACGAAAAGCCCACCCCGGACACCCCAGGACTTCCATCTTGATTCTTGGTGTGGGAACGTCACGCCTTCCACGGCAAAACCACCGGCACCCGAGAGAACCCAGGGGCACCCTGGAGCCAAGCAGGGTGCCTCTCGGCATGGGCCTCCGCTGTAAGATCGTGGTCTAGGCGGGGAGCAGAGCGTGGCACGGCCAGGCAGCATGGACGGCTTGCTTCCCTTGCGCGCCTCTCGCCGTCGCTCGGACGTCTATTCCCCGTGCATGTTTTGGCTTCGTGCGTGTAGCCTCTCGCAAGGTGCGGGGCGCGCGCGCGCGCTTGCTGACCAGCCTCGAGCTTGTCGCTGCGGCGCTTCTGTGTCGTGACGACCCAGGCGGGTGGTTTGTGGAACCGCGTGGATCGTTCCACCTGGAACGACTGGCGGCTTTTCAATCGCCAGATCGTTCCACGTTTGCCGACTCTGGGCCGCCGGCGGCGTTCAAACTTGAACGCCCGCGCCAAGGATGCACCCTCAGAAACTCCGGGAATCCTCAAGATCGGACACCCGGATGTTTCAGGGTGGCAACTTTCTCCGGGGGCCGAGCTTCTTCTCCTCGGCCCCTCCGAAGATCGATGCGGGCCCTCGGAAAGTCGACGCCGGCCCTGGGGGACCGAGCCGCTCCTCGAGGATCGAGCCGAGCTTCGGGAATGGAACCGAGCCTCGCGGATCTGCCCGAGCCTCGGGGATCCAGCCGAGCCTCGAGGCTCGAGCGGGCCCTCGGGGACCCGAGAGGGGAGGCCCGTGCACGGTCTCGGGAAGTGCACCTCGGGGACATGTTCGAACGTCGACCGCCCCCCTGCTGGTTCCTGGCGCTTCGGCGGCGGGCCTCCGTCGACGGCCGTGGACGTTCGCCATCCTGCAGGAGGAGGAGGAGGAGGAGGAGGAGAAAAGGAGGAGGAGGAGGAGGCGACGGGGGAGGAGGAGGAATGGCGTGGAATGGTGTGGATGTGCACACACGTGCGCTCCGCGGGGGGCCAGCGCTGGACCTGACCAGCCCTGGACCCCACGACCACCGCGGGGGCCAGCGCTGGACCAGACGAGCACCGCGGCGAACTCAAGGGCGGAAGGAGGCGACGGACAGGCCCTCCCGCTCCAGGACGGCCAAGAAAGCACCACGGCGCTTCTTCGGCTCCACGGCACCCTGCACGAAGCCCGACCCACCGCCAAGGGCACGAACAGCGGCCGACGCAGCCTCCGAGATGCTGTCGCCCTCGCCCTCCTTTCCGCCCCGCACCGCGCCAGCCATCGGCGCCAGCGAGACCTGCGCGTCCATGAACTCGTCGGCGACCGCGCCGCCGCACGCCTCCCCCTGCACCGCGGAGGAGCCATCCGCCACAACACCCTCAGCCGACTCCATACGTCGAGCTTCAGGGTAACCACACGCCACAGCCGCGCCAGCGTTCCGCAACGACTCGGGATGCGCCACGCGACGGGCAGCCACCTCCAAGTCCACGTCCACGCTCTCGCAATACTCGGACTCCGTCACGCTCGGCATCTGCGCCGCAGGGGGCTGGATCAGCGCGAACGCCTGCGCCATGGCTGCCTCCGAAGGCGGCCACACGGGCGAGGCGCCAGGCAGCGACCGTGGTACCGCAGTTGCAGCGCACGCCCACCGCGCGGCAGGCAGCCCGCGGCACGAACGGCGTGGCCTCAGCCCGCATGCCACCAGCAGTGTGCCCCAGCCGAGGCCCAGCGGCAGCCCAGGACAGATCCGCCGAGGACGCGGCCGTGAAGCCGCCAGGCGGCACTCGGCACGCGTGCCAGGCAGCGTTCCGCCTCAGCCGCATCGCGCCAGGAACACGATCACCTGCAGCAATCCTCTGCAGAGCTGGCCTCGACGCACGCTCGCGGTCCACCCACGAGCCCGGGGCGCCGCGTGCCGCCACGAGCGGCCGCAAAGCTGCTTCCAGAGCAGCGCGACCGCGCCGCCGAGCAGCACGCCTCGCCGCGGAGGCGCCGAGGGAGTCCTTCTCCATGATCCTCAACTCACTGGGCCGCCACATCGGCGGGCAGCCCCCCGCAGCCATCCAGGGCGCGCCCGCCGCCGCCGCCGCCGCCGAACCGCCGAACATGGGCGAAACGGCTGCGGAGAAAGCGGGGAACACGGCCTGAGCCAAAATGGCTACGGCGGGGGAGGAGGAGGAGGAGGAGGAGGCGGGGGAGGAGGAGGAGGAGGAGGAGGAGGAGAGGAGGAGGAGGAGGAGGAGGAGGAGGAGGAGGAGGAGGAGGAGGAGGAGGCGGGGAGGAGGAGGAGGCCTGTGGGGCGCCTCTGGCTCTCTGCGTGGCCCCTCGGGAGCGTCTGGCGCACCCTCTGCGCGCTGCCGACCCAAGACTGGCTGCCGGGGGGCCCCGACATCGGGACCCCGGGGGGGGTGGGAAGCGGGCTCAAGCTTCGAGTCCAGCTCAAGCCCCCCTCCTGATCCTCCTCCTCCTCCTCCTCCTCCTCCTCCTCCTCCTCCTCTCCTCCTCCTCTGCCTCCTCTGCCTCCTCTGCCTCCTCTGCCTCCTCTGCCTCCTCTGCCTCCTCCTCCTCCTCCTCCTCCACCTCCTCCTCCCTCACCTCCACCACCTCCGCACGTCAACCCCCTCCCGCTCTATCCCTCGCCCCTGTGGATGACTCCTCGTCGCAGCGTCAGGCGTGTCGGGTAGGGGGCAGTAGGAGCGCTCGCACGAAACTTCCTCACCGCTCAGAATGCTGAGGCTCGAGTTCTCCAGGAGCGGCGCGGGTGGAGGGCGAAGACTACTTCCCGAGGGGCCCCCGCCTCAGCGCCGAGCACCCGCGTCTTACGGCTTACCGACCAGCTAGAGTAGGAACTCTGACCACAAAAAACCTTCCACAAGAAACCCAACCCTGAGACCCCGGATGTCCATTGATTTTGGTATGGGGACGTCACGCTTTCCATGTCTTTCCATAGTAGAACCATCGAACCCTAAGACACCCAGGGCACCCTGGAGGCAAGCAGGGTGTCTCTTGGCATGGCTTCCCACCGTGCCCTAATGGAGGGTGGCTGGTTCTCATAGTGTGGCCCTCGCGCCAGCGCCGCGTGCTATCCCCCCTTTGGGGTCACCGCAAAAAGTGCCGAGGACGGAGGGCAGCTGGTTCTCAGACGGTGCCTCGCGCCCTGGCGCCGCGCGCACACTCGTCCCGAGAGCTCCCAAGTTCGAGCTGCGCACGGGCCCCGGTCACGCGGGGGCCTGCCGCGCGGGCGGCGTGCGCGACAGGCTCTGACCCAGTGGCCGGCCGAGCTCGCTCCAGCCACTCGTCGAGGCAGGCGTCGAAGTCAAGCAGGCGGGACACGAAGAGCAGGCTGGCTGCGTCAAGCGAGGGCTCCCCGAGCGGCTCCTCCACGTCCCGGAACGCCTCCACCTCCTCTGCCTGACGGACCGCCTTCTCTATCTGATCCGCCTCCTCGTTGGCCACACCAAGCACTCTCTGGAAGTCGGCGCAAATGCCGGCGATGGTATTTAGGCCGGGGCACGTGTCATCATCGTTCAACTCGTCCATCACCTGTGTGGCCTTCAACACGCCCAAGCGAGCCTCGATCGCTTCATCTACACAATCCTGCGTGTCATCCTGAGCCTGCTTTATGGCCTCACTCAGCAAGTGGCAACGCGGATCTGTGCGAATGAGACGCTTGAGGGCAGCCATGAGGATGAACTCGATTGGCACGTTGCCCGAATTGCAGATGTCAGTATCCTTGTGCAACAGCAGCAACTCTTCGAGGGACTTCATCCCCAATAACGGAATAAGTTCTGGTTTGTGGCTCACTGCTTCCGCCAACTCTTCTTCAGTTAGGAATCCGTCCCCATCTTTGTCAACCATGTCAAGAGCGTTCTGCACCAACTCCACGTCCAACATGCGTCCTTTCTCGACCACCTTAGCAATTTTGTCACTGTTTCTCGCCCAGTGCACCACCTGCTCACATAGGAGAGACATGATAATCGTGGAGGTCAAAGCAAAGACGCCTAGAGATAGCATTAGAAAAGTCGCCCTCATTACGAAAGACTGAAACTCTGGGAGAACCTTCGTTCCCCACTTGAAAGCATAAATCTGCGCAACGAAAACAAGCGCCGATGCAGACACAGTCGGAAAGAAATCTTCCACTACAGTGAGATCACTCTCGTACACTAGGACTCGCATGACCAAGCCAGCTATGAGAACGTAAAGCCAGAGACACATGATAATTGCAGTCCAAGTGATAACCCCCCTCCTGAAAGTGCCTTTCAGCAGCCGCACGGAGCGTATCCTAGACGACACAAGCTGACCAAGCACAAGCCTAAACATCCGAAAGTTGATCAAGAAACTCCAGTCTGGAATCAGCATGCTGTAAACTAAAGCTGCGATCGTAACGGCGATAAGATCGGCAAAACACAATATGATAATCCCAAGCTCTATGAAAAGATACATCTCTGAAAGCAGCTTGCCGCGAATGCTCATAATGCGAATTGTCTGCTCAACATACAGGAGGACGAACATCACAATCTTGACAAAGTAACCACCCATCCACAAGAACATGCCCGTCTCGAGGTAGAACAAGTACACGAACACTGTTAGCAGATTGAGGATGACGGATGCGACATGAAACGCCTGGAACCCTGCAATTGCGAGGCACACTTGCCGAAGCCTGTACATGCGCGTGCCCCTCTCAAACCAAGGCTCGGCCCTCATCAGCGTGTCCTCTGCGAAGTCCTCCACGTCCTCCAGGGCGGCCATCGCCTCCCAGACGGTCCGCTGCTGCACCAGCTCGCGCTCGCTGCAGTCGGAAAGCACGTACAGAGGGTCGTTCGCCATGTTCTCTGGGACATCCGCCCTGCGCGGGCTCGGCAAGTCCTCCTCCCTGAGGATCCTGTGCAATTGACCGACCGCCGCACCCATGGATCGGGGACGGCCAAGAGGGGGGC